TATCATGAAAGTTGCCTAATAATTATTATCATAAGGAGTAGACTAAGCCAACTTGTTCCTTTAGAGGAAAGGATATCCTGACCCCAATTCCATCTGTAATAGTTTCTTTAACTTCTAACTCTCCAGAATCCAGGAAGCACACACTTCTTCTAGAATTTAAAGTTAATCAAAGTCACTGTCTGCCCAGAAACTGAGGAAAGACAAAGTAGAATTGCTTTTATTATCTATTGAGTGTATATCACATACCAAGTATTGTGCTGAGTAGTTGTTAATTTTATCTCACTTAAAGATTACAACAATCCTTAAAGTAGATGTTATTTCTATTCCCAGCTTACAATGAGGAATTTGCATCTCAGATATATGAAGTTATTTACTTAGGTAATATTAGTGAATCTGAATCCTCCTTGCAAAGCAGCATTGGGAAAACCCACTTTTCCTCCTGGGCCTTTCTTTCCTGTGTGTCTCCTCTACTGTCACACTTCATTTCAGACACTTCTGGTCATCAAACGTGTGCGGATTTTCCCCCACCAAGCAGCCCTTCAACACTATTTGGATATCCTACAATTGAATTCAATTTCATTCAATTCTGAGAATATCTACCCAGAGGTAGTGTCAGATCCCACAGACTAAGAGCTCAGTCCCATAAGCCTGCTTCCTCTCTATTTCAGATGCCAATCCCAAGTGGTAGATTCCCAGGTTACACACAATTTCTGTCTGATTTGGTTACAAATTGGAGATTCTCACAACCCCCCCCTCAGGTTTGATTAATTTGCTAGAGCAGCTCATAGGACTCAGGGAAACACTTATTTTAAAGAATATGATAAAGGATACAGATGAACAGCCAGATAAAGAGATGTATAGGGCAAGGTCTGGGAGTCCCCAGTACAGGTAAGTCTGTACCTATGGAGCTTGGGTGTGTCACCCTTCCTATGTGGACCTGTTTGCCAGCCTGGAAGCTCCTGGAAACCCCTAACATCAGGGTTTTATTGAGGTTTCCTCACATAGGCATGATTGATCATTAACTCCATTTTTAGCCCTTCACCCTTCTCTAGAGAATAGGGGTTAGGGCTGAAAATTCCAAGCTTCTAATCACTGCTTGGACTTTCCCATACTAACCCCCCTCCAGGAGCCATCCAGGAGTCCACTCAGAGCCACCTCATTAGAAAAAAAACACTTCTACCACCCAGGAAATTACAAGGGTTTCAGGAGCTCTGTGTCAGGAACTGAGGGTAGAAACCTGAATATATGTATATATATATATATATATATATATATATATATATATATATATATATATATATATATATATAACAC